GTTAAACCATAAGGTGAAATTATCATAAAAAGATTTTCCTTTATGAGAATTTTCCTTATCTTACGAGTCTCTTCTCTTATATTATCCTTCTGTAATATGATTTGCATTCTAATTAAAAAGATTCTTCTCCCCTTTGATAAAAGAAATAAAATGATTTTTAAAGCAAAAAAAAAAAAATCTCGAATACGTTAAACTCAATAATCACGATTGGTTACAAACATTTTATTTTATGACTTCACATTTAAACACAATAAACAAGAAACTGCAATAGAAAGGAAATACAGCTATTTTGCTTTCAGAAGTACTTACTTTTGAACAAAAATTATGTGAGTCTAACGTCTTATTTGAATATAAATTGTAAGATTAATTAATTATTGAAATGGCATATTAAATTTAAAAGATTATTTACTTCATTAAAAATGAGTTATGTTGCTAGTTATAGTCTCAATTACTGAATTATCATTTTTTGTAGATGATTCTTTTCTAGATAATGTGCATAATGTCATCACACTAAAGACGATTTTTTCAACAACTGGCTGCAGGAAAATGTAGAAAAATAACGATAATACGATACTTAAAACCAATACAAACGTATAGAACATCCACTGAAAAATTAAAAATTTGATTAGGTTAAAGTTTGATATTATAAATTATTTTATTTTAGTTATATTTATTGTTATTATCCAAGATACTTANAATCATTAAAAAAAAACACTTTTGATTAATATAATGCATATTGTATTTGTAATATAACTTTTTATACTTGTATGTGACATTTTCAATGAATTTATTAATTGTCCCTTGTAATAATTCTGTAACTCTTCCCCTGTCATTCCAGGACCCTGACATTACGTGAAAATATACTTACAAGCAAATTACTTGTCTTGAAGTATATTCAAACACTTCAGTTTTTACCGTACAGTAATCCACATACCATTGTACTTTATCCTGAATTACTGAATAAAATTAATTATTAGATTAAAATTTTATTATTTTTAATGAAATTCTCGAATACAATAGACTTACTTACTCCATTGAATAATACTTATGAGATCATTTTGACTACATGTGCTTGGAATGCAAAGATCTATTCGAAATTCAAAATTTTTTTGAAAATACTTCAAATCTGGAGTCGTGAATTTAAACTGTAATAACATTTATTTAATTAATAATATTTTAGAAAAATTTTCAACACAATTTATTTAACAAAATAAATTTTTAAATATTTTCTAAAGGATTAATTTTAAAATATCCTTACTTTAAATTCCTGTTCAATTTCTCCGACAGAATTAGCAAACTCTTGATTTATATTTGGTTTTTTGGAATAAATCATAATAAAAGGGATACCTTCTACTTTCAAAACGCAATACTTTCCTCGAAACAATTGGTTTTTTACTGTAATAGGCATTCTTTCTTTTTTAGGCACAACCAAATTTAGACATTGATCATAGTCTCCATGCTGCCAAAGTGATAAATATTCCAAAGCTGGAACTGGTTTACTCATTGCGTCAAACACTACAGTAAACAATTGATTATAAAATAAAATTTAGAATAACAGTAGTAAATACTTAAACGTTAAACATAATTATTACAAATTCTTTCAAATAAAACATAAAAATTCATTTTAAAAAATGTTATATTAAACTATATGAATTTCATTTAATAATATAAATTCAATAAACTTATTATATAATAGTATATTTCGTAATCAATTGATAACGATGGTCGGATTGCCGAGCGGTCTAGGTGGCAGCATATCACTCAGAAAGACCCGGGTTCAAATCCCTAGGAAAATTTCGGGAGTGGTCCGTCCGTTCCTCACCACACGGCACACCTCATTGTATGCCTGGCCGATCCCATAATGGGGATTGCTAAAATAGGCTCTCTTAGTAACCGCAGGGAGGAAAGAGTTAGAAAAAAATATTCATCATGATCAAGATAAATCCTTTCAATGTATGGAAAACATTGTGGAAGGATAAGGAGCCAAACATATATAGGCCAGACCGCTCCTGAAATAGGAATTGCTCGGGTTTGATGGAGACCCTCCGTGAGCAATAGATTGATGCTTGTAATTAATAGATTGATTACATTTTAATAATATGAACAAATATTATATTTTTATAGAATATTATATATAAAATTGCATGAAAGGGACGAGGTGTGATGACACGTTTTATAAAGTATTCTCACTTTGAGAAGTTTTCAAAGTTTATACTAATTTTCTCTGAAATTTTAATTAAAAATTGCATTTCTGTACTATTTTTATATTTTAAAAACTTTTATTTTATGTTTAATAAATAAAATTATAATTTAATTTCTCAATTAGTAAATTAAATTTTAACATTATACAAGTAAAAACAATTAAAAAAAATAATAAAAATTTCCTTACTTTTAAACGTCCAATTTTTCGAGAATTTAAATCCTGCGAATAATTTAATTCCAGTAATTCTACATAATGATGTTATATTCACTTCATTATATATTCTAATCAAATAAGGATAAATGAATTTCGCCATTTCATCTTTCGAATTCTTAAAAAAATCTTCTAATTCCTTAAATTTCCAGCTGTTTTCTTCATTAAATGAAATATTTTCCGAAGAAAAAGATATACAAAATTTAAATACATTTACAATTAATATCAGATATATAACTATGTTTCTCATTGTATTATATTAAAAACTCAGTATCTTATTGAAGAAGCTTTCAACTAGACTATAGACTTATTATATATTTGAAAGAGGAAAGTTGTATTTATTATCTTTGTCTTTATTTTTTTTTTTTTTAAAGATAGATGTAATAAAAAGAAAATGAGGTGATGTTAACTATTTTACACTTTAACTCAAATACACATAAAACATTATTTTATAGCGTTTGTCTTCATTTTTGTTTTAAGAAATGGCAACTCAAAAGTAACGAGAAAAAGTGTCTCGTATCTCCTAGTGATGCATACATCTGAGATTAATAATCATTTCTAGATATTAACTGTGTATTTTCTAATTTTCAAGTATACTTGTGATAATGAATCGTATAAAATTTATATAAAATTGATACCAATTTTGTACCTAAGATCACCTTCTACATAGAAATTCTGAGAGATGACGGAATCCAGAATTGTTATAAATGTATAGTCTGAACTCTTATAAAACCATAAAATTCGAGAATAAAATCAATAAAACAAAGACTTTTATCACTTTCTTCTTATATCAAATTCTAGGAACTTTTCTGTGTTTGTACCTGGATAGAAGGGCCTGACAGACACGTGATATAAGTATGCCTAGATTGGTATTTCATATGAGTCTCTTACATATAAAATAATTGCATTCAATAATTTAACATTAATTTAACAATTTTACCTTAGGTAATTTATTAAAAATTTATTTTAGAGATAACTTTTAATTCATATTATTGTTATTATTATTTTTAGTAATGTGAAGAAGTAATGAAATATTACAAAATAACAAGTAAGGAAAACATTATAAACGAGTTACATGTAAGGAAAAATAGTAAAAATAATGCTTTATGCAGAATAAATCGGTCGTTAGAAGAAGATTTTTCTTAGGAATTTTAGTGTTCAATAGAAAAGAATAGAATCTAAAATTTCGCCAATAATAGGGGGAAAATACTGATTATATGATATGATATTGATAGCATTACGGTTTAAAACTGAACAAAGATGGCGACTTCCAATTATAATTATTTGAAGATTGTTTAAATTTTAAAGGAAACATATAATGCGAAAACGCTGGACGAAAATCGGAGCTCTTAGGTAGATTAGTTATTTGCTTATTTCGAGTATTGTTTTTATTTTATCTAATGTTATACTCTTGTTTACCAGTGGCCGAATGGATAAAACCAAAAACCACTGAACACTACTGTTTGGTAGTGTTTCGCGCTTCGCTAACGGGATGGTAACGTGGAGTTTTCCGGGTTTTCTTCACGTTTATAACACTTAAATAGGGGCTAGTTTCTCATAGAAAGTCGTCCAGGAGGGGAGGCATTTTCCCTCGGCGGATCGCCCTATATTATCCTCTTAATAAACGAGGGAATTAAATCACATTGAAACGGTTGTTGACATATAAGTTAGTATATAATCTTTGTTCATACAGTTTAAAAAGGTAACAAGAAATATATAATTTTGTTTTCTTATCATATTTAAACATTATTAATTTTTATTTTATCGAGTAAAAATCTGATGGTTAAGAGGAAGAGAATTACAGAACCTCGTTATTTAACGATTGGGAAGATATTGAAATATTTATATATACAGTTAATGTATACTGTTATATAAATGAATATATTTGGAAAAGGAGGAGAAGTAGGATGAAGAGTTGAACGATCGTTTCACAGTGCATCCAAAGGACTTAGAAGTGAATTGATTCCAGCCCGACTCTTCGGAGTATCTGTAACATTCGGAGGATCCCGAAGCCGGTATACAGTACCTTCGACCGATTATTTAGAGCATCCCAAACGCATCGAATGGTTGCAACCGAATATATATCTTACCAACGAGATTCAGACTGAAACGTTTAATTTTATATTCTATTTTGCAGACTTGGCCAAAATTTTGCGACTTCCAGACTTGCAAGGCCGAACGAAAAGAAATTTTAAAACCCGCCATAGTATTTGGCTTTTCAGGTTAAATTAAAGCTTCCAGCTTTCTTGTACATAAAAGAGGGACATCGTACAGCATTGTACAATAGAAGACATTTATATACAAACTTCTACTAGACCGAAAGCCACGCGATTTCAATTCAAAAAATTTTCTCCCGAACGGAGTTACATCCGACGTTCACGTTTTCGCGATGAAAACTTCGGCCGCAACATCGCTTATGTTTACAATTTTTTTAAATTGCAATTCAATTATTAAATTAATTTTAATTAATTATTATTCTTAATTTCCAATTAAAAATAAATAAATAAATAAATAACTAAAAATTTATTAGATTAACTCGAAATAATTATATCGTATAAACAAATTTAATTCTCAGAGGTCGCTGTAATCATTTTTATTCCTGCGAATGTGTTAATTGATGTGTTGCACTCACAAAGTTGTCCATTGTTTATATTATGTAATTACAATCTATTAATTGTGAATGAGACTTTCCTGTTTTTACACATGATTTATTCAAACGAATGAAGTTATTATAATACTTAATTGAAATCTTCAGAAATATTGATCATTTATTATGTAACGATTATACATTTGTAAATATGAATTCGTAATGTATTTACTTTTATTTATTTAATTCATATATAAACATTATAACTGAAGATCATCATGAAGTATCTTACATATCTTCATCTATGTATTTCCATTTTGTCTCAATTTTCGGGTGAGCAACTTTTATTATATATAAATACTATGTTGTATGTAAATACATTTACATAAATACACAAAAGTAATTTTAAACAGAAATTTAATATTGTTTTTATTCTTTCCTTTTAGTTAACGGAATGACTGAACCTCTTACGCTATATACGACGGAAGCCTTTTTCCTTCCGATCAGTAAAAATTGGTTTGAACCTTTAAATTCTGACAGTAAGTTGATGTTTTAATAGCCTTAGATTATAACATATTTAGGAGTTTTAAAATTTCAAATGTAAAAGAATGAAATAAATAAGTATAAAAATTTTTAGCTTATATCCTATTTTATCTGACATTTCGCAATGTTTACATCAATTCTCAGTTGTTTTTGAGTCTTTTGTCTTTCGTCAGGAGAAGAAACTTCATAAATATAAGATGGAATACAATAGACTTAAATTCGAATTGTTTTTAATAAACGCTGTCACTGTTAGAAGTAATTTTAATTTAAAAGTTTATCGTGTTCCATTTATAAGATTTATTCTGTATATTTTACCTTTGATGATGAGTCAAAAGGTTGAAAATATTTGGGAATTGATGTAAAATTATTTATCTAATATATATATATATATTTGAAGAGGACATGTAAATAGTATGGAATAAATTACCTTTGAAATTTTTTTCTTTTTTGAATCATATGCCTCTCATTTTCTGTGGTTTAATTTTTATTAAAAACTTATTTTGAATTGAGACAAGTGCAATACAATATTTTAAAAAATAAACTGAAAATTTTAAAATATTTCTTTTATATAAAGCAGCGTAAGTTTGTCTTAAGGGAGAGCAAGATGGGAAATAGAATTTTTAAATTCTATATGTAATTTTGTAATTCTTTATAAATAGTTATTTAACATTTACATTTCTCCATACAATTAAAGAATAAAATGTTTTTTCCCATTAAAAAATTTTTTTTACGTTTTATATAGAATAAATTTATTTGTATATACATGGTGTACCAAAAACACCAGATGTTTTTAAAATTAAAGAACATTTCATATAATTCTTATGTGTAATAATAAATATTTATTATTACACATAAGATATGTGCCTTTTTCATGAAAAATTAACATAAAACACTAATTCTTGAAAATGACATTAGATAAGCATTCACCTTTGCAATTATTACACTCATTTAGTCTGGCTGGAAAAGATTATACAATCTCTTGAAACATATCTCTTGAAATTGCCTGGATACACTCACAAATTCATAGTTCATTGATAACAGCCAGATGTTTCTCAAACTATATTTCACATAACACCACAAAAGTAATCTAGTGTAGTCACATTGAACAATGGACAACCAGTTGATGTTCCCAAAGCAAAAAATGACCCTGTTTGGAAACATTTTTTGAGAACTCCCATAGAAGAACACGAGGAATGAGCAGTCGCTCCATCTTGCTGGAGGATCATAGTGACAAAGATTAACTTTATGTTTCAGAAATATATGTATGGCATGGCTATGTAGTGTTCAGAATTCACTGTTATAATATGATTCTTCTCATCTTCAAAAATACAGGCTGATAATGCTGTTGGATGAAATGGTGCACCAAAGTGTCAGTTTAGCACTAGGCATGAAAGTTGCTGCTGAAATTCATGAAAATTATTTTCAACCCAGAATTGAAATTCTGTTGTTCATGAACCCAGACATATGGAAGTGGACCTCATTTGACATCAGTAACCTGTTTACAAGATTTTTGTCAACTTTCAATAATGTCAAAAACTTGTTATTAAACTGAAGTTACTATCTCTTATCCTGTTCACTAAGCTTTTGGATAAATTTGGTGTTGTATGGGTTGTAATGAAGATCTTTGTGTAAGTCTGCAAATTTTGTAATCTACTATACGAAAGTATGACAGCCTACATCTTAGCTGATTTGCATTGACTACATAAGCTGACACTTCTTACATGATTCATATTGTCTGGTGTACGTATTGAATAAGGATATTTTGAAGGTATTTTTGCTTTTTGTACTTTCTTATTGATGCCATTTTGATATTCAGAATAACAAGAATATTGCAACCAAGGGAACTGTGTTACCAAACTGAAGTTGGAAACTGCATTGTATAGATGTGATAGACTCTGTTTTTATAAGTATCTCTGATGCTGCAAAGATCAGTAGTCCATCTCAGCTGAACTTCCAATTTTCTAAGTTGTTTGGTAGGGATAGCACATCTTATCACAGAGGCATGATCTAATTTAGCTATAATATTGTTGTCCAACACATATAAGGACTATGGATCTTTTCCAAGAAAAGATCCATAGTCCTTATGAGCTATGTCATATCTGTATTCTGTCATCTGTTTTTTTAGCATCCTTTTCATAGACCCTATATAAACTAGGTTCATCTGAAATTTTCATCCACAGTCCTATCCACATGTGTTGGACAATGATATTATAGCAAAAATTAGATCAGGCCTCCAGGATAAAATATGCTATCTCTACTGAACAACTAGAGAATTGGAAGCACTCAAGATTTTTAAAGCTGACCAACATAGATTAATTATAAATAAAAGAAATGCATTTCTCATGCTTGACAATCACATTGATAAATATTTATGATTTAATTGTGTCAACCATCTGTATGTATCTGATTGACAGTTTCAAATTTGAAGTACATCTTGTTCTTTAGACTGCTCCATTTTTGAATAATACCTGAAGATTCTTAGGAGAAGATTGAAAACTTTTGTTTTTCCAGAGAAGTAACCTGGTACTGGACTAGATCAAGGTACTTAACTGTGGTATTCCTTGTTCAGTTTTAGTGAGGTAATTGCTTATAATTCTCAATGGAAACATTACCAAATGATCACCTAAATAATCGAGTTATATATGTTTGTTATACTTAATTCTCAATGGTTTTCTCAGACACTTGATCCCACAATATTGCCAAAAGATTTAGTGCATCAAGTATGAGAATTCTTTTAGCAACAGAAATTATATTAGTTAAGTGAAAACTTAGTTTTTTAAAATTTTGAAAAGATTTCATTTTTTAGTATGCCTTTAAATTAGATGCGATTCCTTGGCATATGGCTGAATCGGTGATGTATTTACAGGAAAGAATATTTATTATTTTTAATAATACAAGGGTAATCTCAAAAGTAAGGTCTCCTATTTTTTTTAAATACAAAGAAACATTTATTTTCAATAGTGTTCATATCATTTTAAAGCTTGAAATTTATCTATTTTTCTACATAATTGCAATTTTGGTCGATGCATTTTTGTAGGCACTGTGGCAATTTTTGTACACCCGTGTCATACTAGCTCGCTGCTATGTTGTGTTAAACCAATTGAAATTCATCGCCAATTGGCGAAAGTGTATGGCGAGTCCATGCATATCGTCATCAAGTGGTATAGGGTGTTTGTAGCTGATTGTACTGAAATTAATGATGAAGAAAGAAAGTCAGACTGTCAGTTTTTGACAAGACAGTTGTGAAGGTTGAGTAAACTATGCATGAATATTGGCAAATCACTCTGGGTGATCTCTGCATTTTGGTTCTTGGTGTTTCCCAAAGCACCATTCATAGGATTTTAATGGAAAAGTTGCAATATCAGAAGGTGTGCACAAAATGGGTCCTGCAATATGGTGATCAAGCTGGTATGACATGGGCATACAAAAACTGCCACAGCGCCTACAAAAATGCATCAACTGAAATGGCGATTATGTAGAAAAATAGATAATTGTTCAAGCTTTAAATTGATAGGAACATTATTAATAAATGCTATATGAAATTGATAAAATAAATGTTTCTTTCTATTTTAAAAAAAATAGGAGACCTTACTTTTGGGATTACCCTCGTACATTGTTAGCAGATGGACATTCTGTATAGTTGTCTACTAACAGAACAATCTTTTGTTTTAAGTTTATATATATCTCATTTAACTAACCAATTAATCATGATAATTTTATGAATTAGAAAGTGTTTTTTGATATTTAATATATTGTTTGGTCTAATTATTTAATATTGCCTTTGTTATTTGTGCACATTTAAAGTATATACAACACATAGGATACTTAATAAACTGGAATATTCAGAATTTAATTTAAAATATAATAAAATGATATCAAACTACTATTTGAAGGTTAACAAAAGATTTATATATCTAAATTTCTCAAATTTTAATTTTAATAATTTCTATTTTTGTTATGTAATAAATACTGTAATAATGATAAATGCTTATAATAATAACTTTAAATCTTATTTATAACTAAAGTTGATGCAGATATAGAATACCAAGCATCTCTTCTTGATATGCCGGATTTACCGAAGTGGATGCATTGTCGTCATCCAAATGGATCTGATATTGCATTTTTATATGGTGCACCAGAAGAAGCAGGAGGGGTTCAAATTGAAGTATTTATCTAAATAATGATTATATATTGTAGTATTATTATATTGTTGTTATTAATTGTAATTTTTATCAGTTTAACAAGCAATTATATTTAAATAGATTATTGCATTGAATAGAAACAAATATGAAACATATCGTAAAGTGATCAGCTTTATAGTAGAAAAAAAGAAAAGTAAGAATTATTATTAATCTAATAAAATTTTTTTATATATATGATAAAACATTTGTAAATTAAACAAGAGTACATTATTATTTTTTTTTTAATAGAAGAGGCTCGTCATGAAGTAGAATTAAAATTTTCAAATTTAAATGTTGAAGATATGTTTGAAGGTGAGAGGCTACAACAATTAATTAAAATCTTTGAGAACAGCTTATGGAGAAAATCTCATCAAAGTGATGTGATATATGTGACAATGATTGCTTCAGCCATTGATGTTGGTGGGAGATTCCCTGTAAATCCTAGAGAGAAAGAAGGGTAATTAAGATTGAACTTACTTTAATCATTAATAATAAAATAAATATTTTGATTTATCAAATAAACAATAAACATTATGGCTACCTAAAGAAGTAGTTTTATTATAGTTTATTATCATCAATTATTGTGAAAAATAGTATCACGATTAAATTTGATTTAATAATATTGAATTTAATTGTTTGGATAAATACAAAAAACTATTGCAGTTATTTCTTGCTGAAAGATATATTCAATAGTTTTCGAGACATTCCAATTTTCAACGCTGACTCAGCGTTGATCTCAACATTCGTTGAAAGTCGTTCCTTTTTTCAACATTGAAGTGGTGCTGTTGTCAGCACTGACTCTATGCACTCAGCACTCAACAGATATGTTGACTGCTGCTTTCCAATAAATTGTGGGTAATTGGTGCTTTCAACACTCAACACTCGTGTTGAAAATTGGAATGTCCCGATTGTGATTAATTGTGACCCATTTAACTGAAGTTATATGTTATTTGAAGTAAGAACATACTTTGTCAAGAAAGATGAGAATGAAGTACCAGTTTGGTTTATAAATTTTGTCCAGGTGATATGCAGTATATAAAAGAGGCTCTGGATGTTTCAAAAGAATTTACTGCGATGACTTCTCATAAGAATATGAATTTTAAAAAGATTAAAGAAATTTTAATTGTAATCAACATATAACTTAGATTTTAAAGCAATATTCTTGTATTTTTTTCAATCACTTATTATCAAACATTTTGTATCATCTGAGTTCTGCTGTAACCATTAGTCTATATACTTAATCTAAAACTTGCAATTAGAACAGCATATAATAAGTTTAATATTAGTGATGAATTAGTACACAATTCTTCATTTTTTTTATAAAGTATAAAATATGAGAAATAAAACTCGGTCTCTTCTGATTTCAGAGGTGATTAAAACAGTCAAACAATACTTAAATTAAGAACGAATTATTTAAATTCTTACATTTCATCATATGATTATAAGTTACCTATCAAATACATTTCACCAAAGTGATGATGCTTTATCCTCCTCAGTGATAATACAATTCAATCTGCATGTATTTATAGTTTACAAATTTACCCCAATATGCATCAACATTAATGCTATTATTTAAATCAACATTATTTATATTATCCTTATTTATTATTGAAAAATAGTATTATTTTTGGTTTAAGTTTACCTTGGTAGTCCCAATGGCGGAGCTTCAGTTAGGTTAGGTTGGTTTAGTTAACTACACTTTCAGTAGACTTTTTTTTTTTTCTTTTGTTCAAAAGCTACCATGAATCAATAACTAGTGATATTAAACAATCGGCGGCCTGCCGGTGGCTCCCTTCTGGGAATGTTAATAAAGAAAATTATGCAGAAGGTTTTAAGTAGAGATTGTTTCAAAATTGTTTTATATCAGTCTGCAAAAAATGATAATTTAATCAAATATTCTGTAATGTTCAGACTAAAGGTGAGTTTAGGATCAAATGTTATTTCTAGATCTGGGAGGAGTCTGTCAGGAACATGAACAGTCAGAAGCTATTGGGGCTACCAAGGTATTCTTTAACCTTTTTTTCTTTAAATAAAATTTTTATATTATCAAAATTGATGTTACAATTTGTTTCATTATAATGTAAATATCATGGTGACGTCATAATAGTTGATCTGATAACTTCTTGATATTCTTTTGCTCTTTTTTTGAATATTCTTTTTGTTTCTCCTATATAATATTTAGTTTGATTTTCACAAGTACAAATATATTGTAATCTATTCCAGCTGTTTTAAGGTTCTTGATACTCTATTCTTTTGAGAAGTAACCAATGCTATGGAAAATTTATTAAATTCACTTTTATATTTTTCAAATAAACTTTTTATATATGGAAGTTTGAAGTATTGTGGTTTTATTTTAACAAAAATCTATGTAAAACATATTTATCATACCATTTTTACTTTCCCATCTGTTATATATAACAGAGGAAAAGTATGGCAATCAGTCAAAAAATGATCTCCAGATTTTTACATTTTTAGACTCTGGACCTTGAAACATTGAGAAATGCAAAAAAATTTGGGGGTTTTTTCTGTATCTATGGATGTTAGTGTGTGTAGTGGGGCACAATTTTATTCACCCTGTTTGAAGTTTAATAACTCAAGTGCTTTTTGTTGAAAATTTCTGAAATTTTGCAGGGAAGCTTGTTTATTAGGGGAATTGATGCTATTAAATTTTGGTGATTAAAGGTTGAGGGGGTGGGGAGATAAAGGGGATCATGTGTATCTCCAGTAGGGTTAAACTTAATGATGATTTTACTTGTTATTAGCATTTCCAACTTTTTATAAAACCTACTCTCAAAATTAAGCTTTTTGCCATTTAATAATTTAATAATAGTTAAAAATATAAAAAATATGATAACAGATGGTACCACCAAATGTTGCTGGGAATGTTAAGTAACTTATATCTGGATCTTTTTTAAAAAAGGTTATTAGGATGTCTATTTACAAATGGTTATTAAATGTTTGTTCTGTTTCATTCTCTATATCTTTTTTTTAACATAGTTCTTGATAATATTTTCTTTACTTTCATTATAAACACATTTGACTTAATTGTTAGTAGACAATATGATTTATAATTAATAGATTTTTTTATATTACATAACTTTTCATACTTGTGAAATTGATATTTTTCATCTATTTTTCTAATTGTTAAACCTAAATAAATAATTTCTTTATTGTTTTCAGATTCGATTTCAAACCGAATGTTTTCATGTAGTTTCTTAGTATATGCATTTATTTTTTCTGCAGAAATTATACTTGTATCATAAACTTAGAAAATACGATCAACATATTAGACATAAAATTTCACACCTGTAAAACTAGTAATTTTACTATCAATCTGGGACATATAATACATAAATTACTGGTAATTTGGTCTCAAAACTGACCCCATTAATATTCAAGCTACTTGCCTTTAAAATGTATTTAAAACACTAAAAAAGTTATTTGTCAATGTAAACTCAATTAAAAGTTTTATGTAATCATGAACTTCATACCTGTTTAATGCTTTGAATCATATTAAATTTAAGTGTTTGAATGTTTTAATCACCTCTGAAGTCAGAAGAGGCAGAGAGTTTTTTTCATATTTATGTTTTTAAATTAATTAAAGTAATTTCCAATCCCCATTGAACAGTTTTTAAACTTTTATCATTTTCATTATAATTCTTCATCTTTAAAATTAATAATAAAATAATAAGTAAAGCACATTATAAAAGAATAAATTAAAATGAAAATGAGTAAAAGAATAAATTAAATGAATTTATCTTATTAATAGTTTATAATATATAAATTAAAAACTAAAACTTACTAAAAATCTTATTTTTAGTGTGGTTGTGAGAGTTGGTGGCACTGATAACTTTTCTAGAGACTTACTTGATCTTGAAAGAGAAATTCAACCACTTAGAGTATTAAAAGTACCTTGCCCCAGAGATTATAAACGCACATCTGCTGAACATCTTTTTAGAAGAGAAGATTTCATATCTGATTGGTGCAGTTTTCGTTTGGTAAATATCATATAATAATTTATCGTAATGAAAAATTAAGTATATTAAATATTTATTAAAATATTTAATTATTTATCTTATAAAGGTTAAAGAAGAAAAACAGCAGTCAGGATATGGTAAACCTAGTCCATCTTATTCTTCAATTCCTTTAACTAGTGATGATTTTAGGCCACAAACCATTAGTCTTCCTAGACGTGATTTTATGCTGGATTTCATTGTGTCTATAGTTGTCCCTGCTGTGGTTGTTGTTATCCTACTTACATCATTAGTTTGTGTTATGTGTTGTGGAAGAGAAGGACTGTAAGTGAAATAAAGAAGTAATTAGTCTAAATATATGTGTATATATTTATAGTGTATAGATTTTAAAACTATTATTTCTGTTTTAATATATCAAAGGAATTGCTTTTTTTCTTTTGTGTTTTTTTTTGCAATGTAAGTTTTAATTTTATTTCTAATTTAGTTCATATTTATTTTTTTAATCATTAATTGATATTGGCTGATGTTTTCATTTTGCAATAGGGAGAAAAGAAACAGAAATACATCCAGGTAATAATTCTTATCATCATTATGCTGTTTCTAAGCTATTCTAATTTTGCATTTATTTATTTATTTATTTATGTTGTTTTAATTATTTATTATTTAGTTATTTTATAAATCAGTTATCATTTTTTTTTCTTTTGTATATTCCTTTAAATATCAAGGAAATACCTGTATAAGTTTTTAATACTATAATAATAATTGTTGAAAAATAGTAACATATTATTGTACAGTATTTATTAGATCAGAATACAGAATGTGTTATGAAAGATGTTGATATATTTTCAGGATTGATTTGGACTTAGATTTTAATAATATTTTTAAAATATAACAATTTTTTCATAAACAAAAAAATAAATTTGATTAGGTAAAACTCAAGTTTAAAAATCACAAAAAAAATTATGATAAAAATATAATCTAAACTAGTCTGGTTACTAGCAAGTTTTTATTTAAATATAATAATCTTCATTTAAAAAGACTTTTTGAAGAATGAAGTCAATTTAAAAAGCTTATAATCTGTAAAATTTTGAGCTACAGAAACTCATCATCAGTAGCCAAAACTAAACAGTCAGTCCCAGTAGCAGATACAAGCAGAGGACTACTAAATGGACTTAAGTCGTTTTCCTTGACACATGAAAGATAAAATTTATTTGTTCAAACTTCAAAAACATTGTTTTTAAAAATACTTATGATGGCAAAAATGCTTTATTAGACCAACTGCAACACAATTGTCATGCGTATGTTAATAAAATTTGCTGTTCAGCATGGTAATAGAATCTTTTACGTTGGACACACAACAGATGGTGTTGTGTGTCCAAAGTGATACATTTTTTCATTGCACACCAGCTCAAATGCTGAAGCATGGTTTGAACTCCAGACCAAATTTCTCTTTGATTTAGCATTTGAACTCTGGAACATTTGAAGTATGAGATACTGCTTATATACTGAAAGCAATTACAACTTTTATTAATTAATTATTACATCTTAAAATTCAACATCATTTTATCATTTTAAAGAATTTTTATTAAATATAATTTTCACTTTTTGTCTAAGTGTTTTATAAACATTCCTTATATGTTATTTGTTCAGTCAGTAATTTCCTGAAATAAAGCAATCAGCTCTGATTGTTTTAATTCCAAATTTTAGCTTTCATTTACATTACTGTATCTAAGATAAAATATTGATATTCTTTACATTCATAGTGGTCATCAAACTTTATTTAAAAATCCATATGGTCTTCACAGTCTTCCAGCTTATTATTTCTTTTGACTTTTCCAAAAATATTGTATTTCCTTGATTCTAAGATATACCATGAGTTTCAAATGAAATTTTATGTTATTTTTATGAAAGAAAAAAAAATTATTAAATGATTTTGTTTTTAAGTAACACTAAATTACAGTGAGCAATTATTTATTGTGATATCATCACAATGCTGGACTGCAATTTTTAATTTATTTAATTGAAAATATAGACTATGCTCTCCATCTCAAATTAAGTGTCTTGCCCCTGTACATCACACTTTTCCTGTTTGCAATAGAGTTGTACTAGTTCTAATACCTTTAAGGGGGGAAATTTTTTAATTGAAATAATATGACTTCCAGTTCAAACCAAGTTCATATATAATTATAATTGTGGCCTCCTGTTATAGCTTTCCATATCTGTTCTTGGCTTTCATCTATCTAACTCCATTCTCAAGATTAAGGAAGGACGGACGGACGGATGTACTACAGTACAACAGTGGGAAATTTATAGGTCTACAATTTTTTCAAATTGCAGCCTAAAAAAATAAAAATAATGAAATAGATAGTGCTCAGAAGCTGTATTTTCATGTTCTTTATATATAATAATTTTCTGTTTTACATCTGCTAAGTAATGAAGCTTGAAAGCATTTTAAATGTTAAAAAGGAGTTATATGCTTTTGATTAACAAACCTATTTGAACTAATGTGACTAGTGAGCAGTATATTGAAATACCTCTATTACTGTTATATAATAATTTCTTAGCATCATCTTCTGGTATGTTATTAGTCATCATATTCTCTGACTGACTAATGATTGTTGTTTTAGTCTGAAAATGTGAGACATATCATTATTTCAGACTAGTAAAACAGTTAAAAAATTGTGGAAATTCAGTATTATTATCTCTAAGAAACTTCTCTATCAGCTTCACTACTTATACAGTTTCGTAGATATGTAGAGGCTTACAACTAACAATGTCATCTATTAAGTGCTCTTTTGAACATCTTAGAAATAAAAGGAACATTTTATTTATTTATAGCATCATTATAGCTAGGTGAGGTCATTGTAAACATGTTTGTATTTGGATTTATAATGTTGTTGAATTTCATTGTCTTTTCTCTCTACTGTTTTTTTGGGAAATTTGTTTTTGTTATTTACATGCTTTCCTACAAGCCTGTTCTATTATATTTTGTAGAAAAGTTTGAGAAAGCTCACAAATTTTTTCAAATGACCATAAAATTTTATTTTACCAAAGGAATTTGTGATGTCAGTATCTACAGACCAATCTACATAATAATTGTTTTTATTTATATCTTATTTTATTTTCTAAAATTTTCTGACAGTTTATATAAATAATATATGATAATTATTGCAATCAAATGATACTTATTTTTATTTATTTCATTATTTGCATAATTTTATACTAAAAATAAATAAATGTCTCTAGTTTCAAGAAGTATTAAAGAAGTATAAGTAGTTAGTAGAAGTATAAAAAAGTAAGATGTTTTTATATATTTTGTTTTATATCTTACTAATTGTTATTCACTTATTCAGCATATCTCCCTCCAAGACAATTATATTTGATCCAATATATTTTGGTTTGAATTGTTATTTGATAAAGTCAAAAGCACTAATATGTCTCTCTCTTTCTTCATTTTAATATTTATTTTTTTCTGTTAAAGCATTGTTTTTTGGAGTTTAGCTTACTTGCAGAGTAATTTTTTGTCTATGATATATTTACATTTAATAATAATATTTTATGTAAACTTCAGTTCTAATAAATTATAATCATGATAATTTATCAATATTACAGATTTCATAATAATGGAGGTTTTGAAAAATTTTTTAAATATAATTATTAAATTATTAGATTCCTAATTCAATTAGTTCTGGTAAATTACATTGATAAGAATTACTTTCTACTTCATTTTAATCAAATTAATCATATTTTAAAGAAAAAATATTTGTACAATGTGTTTTATATATTTCATTGAAAAGCCAGATACCATGTTTTATGGCAATATAAGACACATTCCCATTTCAGCACAGAATATTTAGGGAAAAGATATTCAGTGTGTTTAAGCTATCTAAGTGTGTTGGGCACTTGGCTGAAAAAGTTTATTTCACTGAATTCTGATTTTAAAAAGTAAAATTAGAATGCACACTTTCACTTATGGAAAAAAGAAGTTTAAAAAAGTCATTTACCATTAAAATATTTAATAAGACTACATGCAAAAGCTGTTTAGCTATTACAAAATATAATGATATTTTATTCAAGAGTTGGCTACTGGTAGAAGTTACCAGTAGTGTTCTAAAGGCCATTTGAGGAGTTCTGTAGCCATGGAGATTGCAACTTTACATATAAGATTTAGGGCAATTTGTGTCAGTTTTTTTTTTTTGGATAAAAGTGGCATCTTATATGCCACAAAATATAGTATCTTGTTAAATATAACTTAAAGTATTCATGTTACATATATTATACATAAAAATATATATATATATTTCTGCTTTTTGCTTTTACAGTGTACAAATGAATCAATATAATTCAATTCAGAGAGCAAGCAATCAATTATGTCATTTATCAAATAAAAGGGACAGTTTTCCTCAGTCTAGTTCAACTCCAGGATCTTCTCTTCCTCGTTCTAGAACAGGAAGTCCATCTTCAACTTTGCCAAAATCTAATACCCTAAGGTACAATTTTAATTTACAATTAACAATTTTATTTACTTCGTTGAAATATTTACTTATTTCTTTGCGTTATCTTAGGTCAGCTAGTCGAACTGGAACACTTCGAGGAACTGGTCCTCCACCACCACCTCCATATACTCCACTTAAGTATGGGAACTTTTTACTCATATATTATAAATAATTTATATATATATCTATTTCTTTTTCTAATTTAAGATCTGAAAAGCTAATTATAGTCTCTCCCTGAAATAACACAAAATAAGATTATTTTGTTATTTCAGGGGTCCTTAATAAAACAGATCAGGAGAACCTTAATAAATAAGAATAAATGTAAAATAAACTGAATACAAACATAACTAAAACAGTAAATAAATTAAAATATAAACAAAGTTATTGGCTATATAATACTTTTTTTTTTTAATTTTAAATTATTTAGATCTAGGTATAAAAAATTTTTCTATAACAGAAGTTGAAATTCTATAAAAGGAATGCCAAGAAAAGTTTAATTCGTATTGTGGTTGATAGATACAGGAGTTGTTTTGGAAATATAATTAATTTAGCTGTCAAAATTTATTTTTATTCAATATGTAAAAAAAGCAATGAATTTATATCCTGTTAGCCTGATATATTATCACGTCACATATCTTAATCATCAACAAGACTGACCAACAGATTGCCAAAAATGTCCTTGAAAAGCTCATCTTTTATTGATTGCTCAAGACTTTCTGTTTAAATAATATCAAAAGAAATTGGATATCTTCTTACTTTTTGCTATTAAAGATTTAATCAAGTTTTTAAGATAATTTAGGAACATTTTGATTTAAAGTTTTACAATTTAAATATATTCAATATATTTAGATGATAATATATTATTTTAATATTTTATTCATATATACAGTATATTATATATGAATAAAACATACATTGTATTTCAATACTAATAATGCTGTAAGTTGTAGGCCCTTTCCCTGAATAAACATTTGAATCACCTTATATTTTTATTTAAGTATAATATATTTATATATAACAGTTTTTAATATTTTAATATAAACATTTGATTTTTTTCAGAACATGTGGAATAAGCCAAACTTTGCATTAGAAGATTGTTTAGTCAATATAATTGATTGTCATACCAGTATTATACTGAAATCATTCTTGTAATTTGATATTGTTATAGCTGTTGTAGCTTTATTACTATCCAAATAGCTAATATTCTACATGTAATTCAAGATATAACTTTGTAAATGATACACACATAGAATATATGAATTATCTCTGACTGATTTAATCTATATCTGTAAGTTAAATTACAGAATCTATCTCAGAATTATTTTAAATAAGTTAATTTAGACATGATATTTATTAACTTTGGTAAAAATTATTAGTTAAAAATATGAAATAATAAATATTTCTTGTTGTTATATAATAAATTAAGTAATTAGCTCATTCATATGTAAAGCATTTTAAATAAAATTATTGTATATCCTATGTTAAAACTAATACTTTTAATTTTATCATTTGGAAGTATCATTTATTTATTTTTTCCTTAAACCTTTTCACTCTGTGGGCACTAAGAGTGTCTTTATTACCCACTGTGTTCAGCCAGGCCCATAAATAGAGTGGCCAGATGGTAAGGAATGGAGTCCAACATATCTGGATCAACTTGTGAAAATTTAAGTTGAAATTTCAGACTCGCAGATCCCACAAAGCAGCAAGTTGGATGGAATCTTTACTATCTTGGCCATCCTGCCAGCTAGAAATATTTTAAAGTTTGTTGTCATTATTTAATTGTTATTAGTTGTATTACTGTCTTCAGAAGATATCAGAAAATTTTGTAATATAAATAAATTATTAGAGTTGTCTTAAGAACATTTTCTTGATTGTATCTAATATTGTCTCCTTGAATATTTATACCATAAATAAAACTAGAATTGTGAATTTCTGACTTTACTTCAAGTCTAGTTTATGAACTCCCTACTTTGTAAGCCAAAATAATAATAATACAGTAGAACCTCGAAAACTCGGCTCTCGATAACCCGGCACTCCGGATAACTCGGCCACACCCTGGCAGGGCAAAAAAATCCTTAGTTAATTAATTTTCATTATAGACAGCTTTATAAAAGTATAAAAGCTCTCATAAAGTATTTTTCTGAGGTCTGTCTTATCAGGTAAATTACTGTACACAGTGTATTCATTAATTTTCATTTTCATGTAGTA